AATCAATTATTGTTAATTCCGCAAACAGATACTAATATTGTAAACGATCGAGTATAAATGTAGTCTGGGTACGAATATGAGTGTCTTGCCACTTATTTAATCATGGCTTGAGTAATGGAAAACTTAAACCAAATCGAATCGATTATTTCTTGCTTTATTAAATATTCTAGTCTATCAACTTATTGAATATGAAAAAGAGTATGTGAAATTCCTTATCAATTAGTCAACATCATCGCAGTTTCGAAAAAAATAAGAAAAAACAAGATGTGTTTGTGGAACACTATGCGCCCGGCGGCAACAAAGTTAAAAAAATATTTTTAGCATATAGGTCATAGTCAAGGTCACAAGGTCAATGATCTTGGTGTCATTTGAAAGAACCTGATCAGTGAAGTATGCATACCACATATGAAGTCTCTATCTTTCATGGTTCAAAATCTATGGTGAAAGTTCAAAAAAGCTATTTTTAGCATATAGGACACAGTCAAGGTCACAAAGTCATTGACCTTGGTGTCATGTGAAAGGGCTTAATTAGTGAAGTATGCATGCCAAATATTAAGTCTCTATCTTTCTTCGTTCAAAAGTTATGGCGAAGATTAAAGTTTGCCGACAAAATAGCTATTCATGGTTATGGCGAAGGTTAAAGTTTGCAGACAAACAGACAGAGAGGACAAAAACAATATACGCCTCGGATCTTTCGATTCGGGCGCATAAAAATTGTGGAAACAATGCAGAGAGAGAGAAAAAAATTCTCTTTTGTTGAAATGTGTCGGCAACGGAAGTTTACTCCTCCATGGCACTTACCCTCACTTCTGACTTTTTAGAGGTACACGTTTACTTTGCTCCTGATTAATACTATTTCAATGGAGTTTTGAGCTTGAATTCCTGTTCGCTATCACCATATTTTATTTGTGGTGGCATATTTGCCATGGTATGCGTAGTAGACCTTGTCACATGCATGTGCATTTTAAATGACACAGAAAATAATTTTGCGTTGCAATTTTATGCACTCTAAATGGCCATAAAAATGCTCAAATTCAGTTTCAGCCAGGGACCTTCCCCCCTCCCTAGGCCTCCTATTGATTTTCATAATTTCTCCAAAAGCACTATACCCCCAAACCTGGAGTAATTGCTGTCCTACATCTCTTCACCTTATTTTTACGCAAAAAAGGTATGGGTACACATACATCTTGCCATAATTTCTTATCTTCATATTTTAAATTACTCACGTCATTCTCTAAAATATAAGCACAGTGTCAATCTGAGAGAAAAAAGTATATACAGTATACAGGGAAATTTTCGCCCCCGTTTTATTTTTGCCCCTTTCGCTCTTGTCTAAATTGGGCGAATTTAAAATGGGGCGAACTCAAATTACACAGCATAATTTCTTAAACAGAACTATGACTGGGCGAATTTAAAACGGGGCTAACTTGTCCGCAAGCACAAAAGGGCGAAAATAACACTGGGCGAAAATTACCCTGTATACAGTACTTATATGGTATTGGATCCCCTATTATATATTCCTATATATGATTCCGATACCGATAATCTATTCTATAAAACATTCCGAGGTTTGCCAATTGGACCCTGACCTGTCAGATAATTTCGCGGGATTTACGTTCCTATGAAAGTACACAAATAATGAGGACGTTAAAAAACGCACGCCATCTAGCGTTACTTCAGGTAATGTCTGTTTTTGTACGCCATCTAGCGTCAATTCAGTGAATGGCTGTTGGTTTTGCATCGGAGTCTGTTGAATTTGCAAACGAGTCTGTTTATTTTGCAAACAAGTCTGTTGAATTTATTTTAATGTTGTCTGTTTTGTATTTCATTATGTTTATAAAATTAGTTGTTAATTTGCATTAACGTCTTTTTCACCCTTTCTGCCACCCATAAAAGACAAAAATAAAACCATTCAACCTATTAAACTAAATGATAATCACGCACTGAAGATGTTATGACAAGGGCTTTCCTTAGCTACCATTAATTTTGACCTTGACCAAAGGACCCTTTTTTTTAATAAACATTAACCTTGACCATATTTTTTGAATGATTTGGGGCTTAATTGGGCTTTCATATTTCACATGTATATTCATCGACACCAGTCCTTTCTTTGGGTAACGACAAATTTAATCGTTTGATATTTACTTTGGAGTTTAACTTGCATTTGAGATACTATTATCTTGGCAAAAAGCTGCCATATGGGGACATCAATGTTTTAAAAACACAACTTGTTTATTTAAAAACGAGGAAAGAATGTCCTGCTTCAATCTCATTTATTTCTTTTGCATTATTATTATACCCCCCGCTTGAAAAGTGGGAGGGTATATAGTGATCGGGATTTCCGTCCATCCGTCCGTCCGTCTGTTACGCTTTATCTCTTATCCGCAACTCCTCTTATACTACTGAGTGAAATTTAATGAAACTTTCACAGAATCTTTATTACATATTGCCATTGTGCACCTCCTATTTTACTTTTTTATTCGACACGTATTTTAGGTTTCCCAGAGCAAAACATGGACATTGCCATTTTTTGTTTACCTGTGACGTCACATAATAGAAGCTTCTGGATAACATTGATAGGAGGAGTTATTCCTCTTTACACATTACCGTAAAACAATATAAAGCAACACATCGACATTATGGGAGGCGGGGGGTATCATTTAGTGAGCTCATTGCTCACAGTACCTCTAGTTTTTTTTATACTTTCCATCCCTTAAAACTGGACCAATCTTCATGAAGATAGTCTGCAGTTGTAGTTCGAATGTTTATGATGTCCCCAATTTTCAAGAGTAGTGGAACTGTATTTGAACAGCTTTCATATCCTTTACTTTGTCTATTGTAGCAATTCCCGAGTCCTTGTCTTTGCCCATTGACTAGAATTTCCGCGTCAAACAACTTTTTTGGTGCAACAAGACTTGACCACGTAAACACGTACAGTCCGTCAGCTGGCGTTGTGAAGACTCCAGTGTGATTATTGTAAGCATTTCCATGGTTGAAGTATACACCATCGTAAACAACATTCACGGGGCTATCAGGAAATTGTAGCCGTTTGGTAATGTATGCATTAAATGCAATATATTTAGCTGCAATATTTAAAAAGAATATCCGTTAATATATTACTATTGTTATGTTTCTTTCATGATTGTTTACGATTTCCGTCATTACTGGAAAGAAGTGCTGAAAATTGGGGTTGGGATTCTGAAAATAATGTTCTACCTATTCATTAATGTCATTTGTTATACCTTTAAAAATGTGTTGTTATTCAAATCTTTATACGGAATCTAACATTTCTAATGATTTGCTGAGCGGGCATTAAAAAATCGATGTTTGACCGCTGAGTGAGATGTTGGACTTAACGATGAGATGTTGGGCCGCTTACACCACAGATTGGGCGGAGCTTAATCTTATTATACCCCCCGCTTGAAAAGCGGGAGGGTATATAGCAATCTCCAATGCAGAGTTGTCGTTCGTTCCTCTCTCAGACGTGAATGTATGAGCCGATGGTAGAGAGTGGGTATATAGTAATCGTTATTTCCGTCCGTCCGTCTGTACGTCCGTCCGTCCGTCTGTTACGCTTTAGGGTACCCATCTCTTATCCGCAACTCCTCTTAAACGACTGAGTGAAATTTAATGAAACTTTCACAGAATCTTTATTACATATTGCCATTGTGCACCTCCTATTTTACTTTTTGATCTGACAGATATTTTGGGTTTTCCGGCCACGGCAAAACATGGACTTTGTCATCAGTTATAACCATATGGGAGGCGGGGGGTATCATTTAGTGAGCTCATTGCTCACAGTACCTCTAGTTTTCATTTGTTGGTGTTTAAGAGTGACCACCGGCCTGACGAGTTACAACATGCATAGTGATTGTATAATCCAACACAGGATACAAAACTTATATGATTTAGAATTTTTTTTTTAATATTTCAGTTCCCAGAAACCTTGACTCAATGTTTTGACATACGAATACTAGTACGACCGGTATTTCTTTAAAATCTAAAACAAAGGTTTCTAGTAGAGAAATAGCCGAATATATGTACCATCTCATATTTTACATTACCTGGAGCAAGGACACCTTATCTCAAAAGTTAATCAATGGCAATTTTGTCATTTTTCACATTTGTAGTTAAATCCTTTATATGTTAAAAAAGTTATGTGATATATTTTATTCAAATAACCTTTTTGAAAAGTATTTTGCATGCCCATCATAAGGTGAGTAAAAACCATGCTGAAAAAACCTATCAATTATTTTTTTCATAAGATAAACAGATATAAAGATTTGCATTTATAAATTATAATCCTTATTACACACCTTTTTCCACGTTTACCGAAGAATTGTTATTAAATAGCTATCATGAAATTAAAAATAAACAAAATGTATATGTACCTTTTGAATAGTTGTTAAGGTCCTTGATACAGTGGTATTTGACCTCCAAATATTTAGAGAAAGTAGGACACGGGTCTCCAAAGTCCTGTTTAGCAGCGTGAAGGTGACATGTCTTGTACCCATTGCAGTTCCATTTTGTCTTAATTTCAGACATCTTTGAACGACAGGTACGTGTTTTAGTGTTACCGGTAGGACATATATTTTCGTCTAGTCGTCCATAGTTAGCTGATAAAATCCGAATCTTGGTTCCATTTGCACAGCCGATAAAACCCCTTTGACCTCCACAGAGAGCAAAAGTCTGGTCTGAAAAAGAAAAATTATCTTGCCCTGTTTTTTTATACCCCCGCTTGAAAAGCGGGAGGGTATATAGTGAACGGGATTTCCGTCCGTCCGTCTGTCCGTCCGTCCGTCTGTTACACTTTTTCTCTTATCCGCAACTCCTCTTATACTACTGAGTGAAATTTAATGAAACTTTCACAGAATCTTTATTACATATTGCCATTGTGCACCTCCTATTTGACTTTTTTATTCGACACGTATTTTAGGTTTCCCAGAGCAAAACATGGACATTGCCATTTTTTGTTTACCTATGACGTCACATAATAGAAGCTTCTGGATAACATTTGATAGGACGAGTTATTCCTCTTTACACATTACCGTAAAACAATATAAAGCAACACATCGACATTATGGGAGGCGGGGGGTATCATTTAGTGAGCTCATTGCTCACAGTACCTCTAGTTTTAAATGAATTAAATGTAGGTCTGGACTATGAGATTTAAAATTTACCTGAAGTTTTCACGTTTCTAATCCACGACAACAGAAATAAAATACTAACACTTGGAAAATGTATCATCTTTGTTTCTGCAAAAATAATTGGTAAGTATAATCAGCATAAGTAGTGTGAGTTAAAATTGTAAAAATTAAATTGATACGTATTTATAAATCAAATAGCCATTATCAGATGTAACATGTGTGACTTTTTAAAGGATATAATGAAAACTGTCACGGAATATTATCACAGCTAAAAAACAAACCCAAGATTTTCATGTTTACATGGGTCATTCTCAAAAAATGTCCAGATTTCAGTGATACAAGTCTTCTGGTAAATATTGTAATAAAATAAAAAAAAAAAATTGTGCTCATGAACTTAACAATGATCTAAAATTAAGAGAACAGATTTAAAGTACGATTAAAAATTGATACAATTACTGAAAAAATCCTTCAACATGAGTTAAATTAAAGAAAATTGCTTGTGATTTCGCCGAGGGTATATTTTCAACCCTCCTTATTGAGACAGTAAATATAATTTGGGAATATAAAATACCTTTAATGTATTGTTTATTCTTAACATTGTTCAAAAATATGCTAAAAGGTGACTGAAAAAGGTAAGAATATAATTTTTTAAACAATAAACCTTAAAAAAAACTTTGTGATTTTCGCAGTGTCCTTGGAGTAAACAAGGCATAAAAGTTATCTGTAACAGTTATTTTTCTTGAAGGAACTCCTCAGCATCAGCCGCCTTCTAAAGATATTGTACCTGCCAAAATATAAAAAGACACAAAACATGTGTGTTTCACCCCCTAGACACAATACATGTATTTGGTTTCAGTTGAGTTTGGCTGAGAGAGTAATTTATTTTTAGGTCCTTGAAGTTACTTAAATAATGTGAAGATAAACTAATATATAATGTTTGTGATGCATTGAGCGACTTTGAAGTGAAATACACATGATGTAGGAGCTGTGCTCTATCTTTTTAATGCAGCCATTGCTTTCAATTATACTTGTAACTTTTGATGTAGAAATTCCCTGGCGTTACTGTCCATTTTGTTACTGTAGGAAAAGTTACTCCAAGGAAATATTTAATTACTCTATGGACAATCTGTACAGAAACTTCATTATTTACAATTTAAAAATAAAATATAATGTGTAAAGTTTATCGAAAATAGTACATCAATAAAATTTGTATCATCTGATCATATGTTGTACATATAATATTTTATACATGCCACAAATTAATTCAAAAAAACGAGACGCGTACCACAAAGGACAAATTTGGTAACTCCATGGATGTCAAAATGATTAAACATTTTCATTATTAATGTACCCTTGTAGTTATTCTTGCTTCAGCAGTAGAGTAGAGAGAATTATTTATTTTGAGTAAATTGAAATATCAAAATTTCTTATGAAATACATCTTTACCCCTTTTTAACCCTATAATACTTAACTATGGTAACATTATAGACAAATTCAGTTACACAAGGGACACGACTAGCATTTAAGATAGAAAAATGAAATAAAAATACCACCTATGAAGTTGTAATTGTGTTCAATGTATAAAAGAAAACAATTGTGGGGAGATGGTACAATTTGAGTTACATTAAATATAATGAAGTCCTTAAAAATGAGATGGTTAAAGTGGTAACTCCAGGGAAGTATAGAAACACAAGAGAATAAAATAAAAATCCAGGATTTTATGATATATGACATTTTTTACTCTGAAACCTGTTGATTCTATGTTATGTTCTTTCGATGAAGATATTGGAAGCACAAAACAGTTCAAAAGTTGCAAAAAAGAGACAGACAGACAAGTGAAAGATCAAAGGAATCCAGACACCTTCAAAGTAACGTCAGATATATAGAACATTTGACTATTCTAGCATGGAATGAGTATGTCCGACGATGAAATAGTTACGAATTTTTCATCACTATCAAAAGCGATATCAAAAATTATATTTCAGAGGAACAATACATCTGTCACCAATCATGAGTTTTTGTTTGAATGTAGATGAAGATACTCTTTATGCAGATTTGTCTAATTGATTTTCCTCGTAAAGTTTGGAAATTGTTTGTAAACCTTACACTGTAGAAGTATATTAAAGCTTTTGGAATAAAGTCAGAGCGCTGAAGTAAGAGTTGACATTATAGTAGAGGTAGTACTTAATATGGATCTCTATCTTTCCCAGCATATCTCGAAATTTATTTCAAACAACAAATAGGCATTTGGCAAAGCTATATTTTTTATGCAGCTGATCAACACTTAACTTAAAATCAAATAATTTATAAAAAAGGAAGGGCTTTGTATACTTGTACATGCACCGATCAATGATTCTAGGTCCAATGATAGTAATCCTGCATTATTCATATACAACTTATTTTTATTTTTTGTTGATGTTCACGTATCTTTATAATTGGACAAGTATGTCTATGTTATTACTTTTTAATCATTGTTGTTACTAGTCGGACTCCAAATGTAAAAAGAAATGAAATCCTAAGCAATTTTTTTCTTAAAATCATATACTTTTATTTACATCTATTATATAATGCCATTGCTGTGCTTTTTGCGAGAGAAGGGGAACAAATTTATTATTTATTCTTAAGGTTTGAACAAAACGTCTTTTGTGTTACTTTTATGTCCCTTGTGTTATGAAAATGTCCTTGGTGTTACTCAACCATTTTTTTCTGAATTTATATTCTAAATCTTTCCACAATTTTATCAAAACTTGCTACACAAGCCTGCTGTCTTCTAATACAAAGTATATTCACAAAGCCAGTGTTTCATGCTGAGGTAAAATGACATATGCTTTAAGGTATATTTGTAAGAATAACCACATTTTATAATTTCAACAACTTTCAGCTTCATGTCATATAAAATTTCTCTCTCAAGAACCCTCAGTTTGTTTTGATAGAATATTTTTGATTAGGATATTTAGATTATGATTCTAGAAACCTTAGTTATTATTTTATTGCGATTTCTAAGTAAGTAACACCAAGGACATTTATTGTTGGATGCATGTACTTATAGTGGATTTTATAGTAAATGTTGATAGAATTCTTAGTGTTTCAACATTATTTACGCATCACTGATGTTTCACTACGAACATAAAACTTAAAAGTATTTAGTTCTCAGAATGTATTTTCTCTTAATTCTGTTGATGGAATCTGGACAAAATTTGAGAATGACCCACATCTTTTTCATTTTTGAATTAAAAATCTGTTTCTCTTATATATACTAGTAATAGGCAAGTGTGATATTAACAATTTTTTTCGCCACTTTGGCCCTCCAAAATGATTGCATTCAGATCAAAGAGCTAGTTCTGAATCTACATTCATTACAGAAATAGAACGATCATGAACAAAACCATATTAGTACCATTCTGATGGTAATAGGTTTACAGAGAATTATTTCATATGCTGGGGATGTTAACAACAGAGCAAAAGCAGAACTGAAAGGAAACTAGTGCAAGGAGCAGAAGATCATACTGCCTCATTATACTGCCTAGCTATATGCTCTTCTTCAGATAATGTTTGATCGACAACTCCGGCACCGTACACATAAAAATAGAGAACTTGAATCAAACACTTACCCACCAAGAAACGGCCAATCAGTAGCTATATCATAGCAAACAGTCAATTCAGATGTAACGGGAGAGGAGAAAATGCAGCGGACCAGACCGGGATTCGAACCCGGGCCCCCTGAAATTCCGGTCAGGTGCTCTACCAACTGAGCTATCTGGCCACCGGCGATCGAACCCTCTGACCGCTACATTCCTCCCTCCTTAAAGGTCTTTGGCCCTCCAAAGACCCCAACCCAGGCTCATTCTTGGCAGGTCTTTCACCTGACAATTCCAGGGCATGGCACGGCACCAAATGTAACGGGAGAGGAGAAAATGCAGCGGACCAGACCGGGATTCAAACCCGGGCCATGCAGCCATACATTTTCTCCCTTTCTGTTACAGATTTGGTGCCGTTGACCACCCCTGGACTTGCAGGTGAAAGTCCTGCCAGGAGGTAATAAGAACTTGGGATGTGTCTTCGAGGGCGAAGACAATTTAAGGAGGGAGGAATGTAATGGTTTGGGCCGTGGATATCGGCCTGGGTAGCTCAATCGGTAGAGCACCTGACTAGTGATGCAGGGGTCCCGGGTTCGATTCCCGGTCCAGCCATACATTTTCTCCCTCCCTGTTACAAATCTATCATAAGAAAAATAATTGTTACAAATGTACTAGTCTTGATGTTCAGTAAAGTATTTTAAAACTTGTATAGTACATACACGTACTAGTACTGTTTTTAATAGGTTGCATGCTAAGTATATTCATGCCTCATGCGTCCTCCGGGACACGGAGAGGACAAGTAAGTATGCTAAATATATTATAATAAATGTATTACTATATACATGTATTCAGTATGCATGACAAATGATTTAACAGAATCTAGACAACAAGAGTTACTTCATTAACAGAAAATTATGTTTAAAAAAAATTACAAAAATATAATACAATGTACCGTACTCTTTAAAAGAC